ATTAAAGAAGAACAAAGTAGGAGATCTCATACTGACAGATCTCAAAACCTACTGTACAGCCACAGTAGTCAAAACTGCTTGGTATTGGTTTAATGACAGGAACATAGACCAGTGGAATAGAATTGAGAATCCAGAAATAGATCCATCGACCTATGGTCAGCTGATCTTTGACAAAGGGCCAAAATCCATTAAATGGGGAAGAATAGAATGTTTGTTTAGTATATGGTGCTGGCAAAACTGGAGATCCATTTTCAGAAAAATGAAACAAGATCTGTATCTCACACCATACACAAAAACTAACTCCAGATGGATCAAAGACTTAAATGTGCAACCTAAAACTATAAAGTTCCTCAAGGAAAAGCTAGGGGGAAATTTAGGAGCCCTACTGTATGGCATAAATAGACTATCAAGCATAATCCAAAATGCACAAACAGCAGAAGAGCAACTAGATGTAACTAGATGAATGGAATCTTCTAAAAATTAATTTTTTTGTGCTTCCAAAGACTACTCCAAAGGAGAACCTACAGGTTGGGAAAGAATATTCATCAATGACATATCTGACAGGGACTTATTTCTAGAATTTATAGGAAACTCCAACACCTCAATGACAAAAAAGAGAATTAAAAAAGGGGCAGAAGACATGAATAGACACTTCACCAAAGAGGATATTCAGGCAGCCAACAAACATATGAAGAAATGCTCATGAACATTAGCCATTGTTGTTGTTGTTATATGTCATTGAGTTGTCTCCGACTCATAGCAACCCCTCCTTTGGTTTCTGAGGTGATATCACTATGGGAGTAGATTGCCCAACCTTCTTTCTGAGTAGTAGCTGGTGGATTTGAACTCCCAACCTGGTTAGCAATCAAGTGCCGTAGGCACTATGCCACCAGATAGAGAGATGCAAATCAAAACAACAATAAAACACCATCTTGCCCCAGCACTAGGAGCAAAGTTCAACAGTACAGAAAATAAATGCTGGCAAGGATGTGAAGAGATTGGGACTCTCATACACTGCTGGTGGGACTGTAAAATGGTACAACCACTGTGGAAAGCAGTATGGTGATTCCTTAGAAACTTGGAATTAGAAATGCCATTTGACCCAGCCATTCTGTTAGTAGGTATATATCCTAAAGAGATGAGAGCCAGCACAAGAATAGACATACGCACACCCATGTTCATTGCAGTACTATTCACAGTAGCCAAAAGATGGAAATAACCTAGGTGTCCATCAAATGAAAAATGTATAACTAAACTCTGGTACATACACACAATGGAATACTATGCAACCCTAAAGAATAAAGTAGAATCTGCAAAACACAGCATAACGTAGATGAACTTGGAGGACATTATGCTGAGTGGAATAAGTCAATCACAGAAGGACAAATATTTTATTAGTCTGTTATTGTAAAAAAGTCAAGAAAAGTTTATGTATGGACTGAAGTTATCTTTGCTGGTTACCAGGAGTGGGAGGGGATGGGATGGAACACTCTTAGATATGTAGACACAAGAATTGATTTGGGTGAAGAGAAGGGCAATGTACCAAATGTGAGTGATCAACACTGTGGTATTGAAGGAGAGGAAGATATAGAAAGGTACATGGGAGACGAACCCTTTTGCACATACAGTACTGTGTTGTCAGTGAAGGCAAACATGAATATATGGGTGGATAGATGGGTGGAAGGCTGAACAATTAGGTATGTCTATGCAGGGGGGTAGTGTACTCAAGACCATGTATAGAGTTGGTAGACAATGTTTGTACAAGTGTATCACTATGTTCTATAAGACTTCCTTGGTGTATAGTAGAGCTACAAGGGACAAGTTTGTAGTCACTTTTTGGGCACAGCCAGCTACCCAGAGGGAGAAAGTAGTTGGACCTGTGGGCTCAGGACCATAGTTGCAGGGGACATCAAGCTCAATTGGCATAACATACTACACGACACGTTGTTCTACCTCTTACTCTGGTGACTAGGGGCTGGGATCTTAAAAGCTTGCAAGCAGCCATCTAGATGCAATAATTGGTCTCTCCTCATCCACAGCATAGAAGAATAAAAAATAAAAATAAAAACAAAGATTCATGGCAACAATTAGTCCAAGTGACTGGTACACCATGTGATCCTCAGGCTATATGACTATGAGACCAGAAGAACTAGATGGTGCCCAGCTATGCCACTGTCAACTACTTGGAGAGGGATCTATGTAGCAGATCCTGGATAGAGTGGGAGAACAATGTGGAACAAAACTCAAATTCATTTGGGGAAAAAAAAAAAGGGGACCAGGTTTGCTTGTTTGATAGAACCTGATGGAACAACTGAGACTATGGCCCCTAGCTGCCCTTCAGGTCTGGAACTGAACCCTCACCTGTGGCTTCCAGCCAAACAAAAAAAAAGACATATGAGCTGAACATTTACACTAGGTAGATACACTCCTTGGAGAGAACAACCATGGGAGAATAGAAGGGCTGTGTATGGACAGGGACATAGTTCAGAGGCCAGGAGTACATGGATGGAAGGACACAGGGCAGAGATAACTATGGGGAAGAAGTAGGAGGGGAGCTGTTGCATTGTGGTAAATTGTAGTCAATGTCATGAGATAAAGTGTATGTGAACTGCTGTTTGGAAACTGAATTTGCTCTGTAAACTTTCACCCAAATCACACACACACACACACACACACACAGAATCCATTTGTGACCTTGTTGATTTAATTTCATCTGTATTAGTGGTCTCACTATGTTACTATATGTGGGTTTTAAGGGTATGCACTTCTTACTGGATGGTGCCAATCTTTGTACCCTACTGGAGATTGGAAGGCTAGTGCTCCTTCTAGAAGTGAAATTATTTTCAGGTCACAGAGAGTTGGGGAAATTATATACTCTTGTGTAAGAACCTTAAAAGTATATTGCAATATACCTTGTTCAATATAAAGTCTAACTTACCCTGAGCATCTGAGTGGACAGAGATGTTGAATAAAAAATTTGTGATGTTGATTGCTGCATACCAAGTTCCCTCAGCTTGGACAATAGCCTA